CACTCATTGTTAAATGTTTGAATTTAGACAAGTGTCACACGTACTCTAAGGAAATACGGACTCAGGGATCACAAAAAAGGAGGCTACTCGAATAATAAATCTATATCCCACCTAGATTAGTGTCATATAGCCACCACTCTTTTGATAGTATAATACATAAAGAAGTCCATTATGAGATACGGTTAGGAATCTTTAGGCAGCTAAGATAGTACCTCTATGACTATCACCATTCACCGCTAAAAGTCAAATGGTTGTGATATTTAAAAATCGGTCATAACACGCCACTCACAAATCATCGGGACCAGTATAATATCTTATATTTTATAATTATTATTGGGAGTTTAATAAATAAACATAATTGTATATTGAAACAGACATCGAGTATTTATATTATTATAGGTACCACCATTGATTATTAACACTAGTATTTAAAATCAATGGTACCACTAAACCTTAATCGACTGGTTGGCACGCAACACTTCTGGCTCATATTATTCTATTTTGTGCCATTTGAGTAGAATATATATTATTTACATTTTTTTTTTCATATCATATATTATTATAAATCAATGTAGGTACAAGTAAGTGATGTTATGATAGTTTCGATAGCTTGAATAGGGTTAGTTACATACATTTTTTATTAACTTAACGAAGTAAAAAAAAACTAATTAACTCTCCCGGTTTTGCTAGTAATAATGCCGCGGTGTAACTCACTCATGTTTCCCAAATAGATCTAACTCGTGAAAACTTGTGAAATAGCTCGCGATGCACCTATGTACCGTGTGTATAATATAGTATATATGTTTGATTATTTGCATCCCGTTGAAAAAAAAAAAAAAAAAACTTGAAACGATGACTGTTGACCTCATCACACGTCCCGAAAACGACGGCGTTCACGATTTACCGGGGACACGACGTGAATAGATATAAATACGACACAGTCGTCGTGCAGACAATAATAATAATAATGTATACTCGAATAAGACTTAAGACCGGCGGGAGCGTTATTAACGGGTGACAACGGGAAATGTGTTCCGTCCGCATGCACCACGTGTAATAATTAACCGGCCAGAAGCTCAGCTCGGAGCCTTCTTGATACGATTCCAACGGATTTACCTTTAACGCGTTTTTGATCGACGCCGCAACCGTAACTAATGAAGACGTCTGACGAATGAGCAGAAACTATAGAACGCATCGAGAGATATTCTTTTTTCGTTTCTTCATAATATATCTACCTATATGTTTATATTATATATATATACATTTATATTTTTTGTTTGTCTACTCCAACGTAGTTCCTGCTTTTCGTCGCCTGAAATCTTTTCATTTAGGTACCCACCACGTTCTTGGTAATGTTTCAAAAACGGCCTGTGCGACCTATACGTACCACAATATGATATATTATGAAATCACAGACAGCCGACTTCCTAAACCCGAATTGCATAACACCGAACCCATCGAATTTAAGATATTTTGTCTCGTCATAATATAGCATGTTATAAGAGGTTCGTCTTCACATATTTCCCAATAGGAGAGTGTTTTCGACTATGCCAAAAATGCTGTATAATTGTATAGAAATAGTAAAGTCAACAATAATAAGAACATATTAAAACTAAATCATCGTAAGGCAATGTTGGTACCCTCACTTTGACTCATCGCTGTAATCGAACAGTCTCTGACTTGAAGGATGTCCAAGTGCCATATTAAAGATAACGCGTACCTATCATCTATAATTCGTTGGCATGGTTGCAAAAAAACAGAACTTGTTTTTATATTATTTTAAAAACTTAATTTAATGGCATACCTACTGTTTTTTTATATAGGTATATTATTTTAATTTTTATCAAATTATATGCTTAATTATTTAAGTATTACAACAAATTTGTTACACCAAATATAAAAAAAACAATAATTTTATTATTTATCAACATTAAATAAGTAAATAGGAGTTAGATAATTAAAATTGTTTTTTCTTATCATTAAGCATGATGACCTTATAACAAAATATTCTAATATTCTTTTTATGTATCTAATATTATATTATTTTATAAATGATAAGTGATTAATTATAAATTAATTAATAATTATAAGTTTCTCTAATTTCAAAATAAATGTTTTAATGTTGTTAATAATATCATTGTCTTAATAAACTTAAGAAATGTTAATAACTAAATAGCACAATCATTTACTGCTATCTGTGTTTCTCATATTAATATTAATGTCAATTAATCATGATATTTTAATTTTATTTTTGAGGAAAAGGTATTATATTATATTTTTGTAGCGCTTTTAGTCTTATGAACCTAACTATGAATATTCCATTTTATCAAATCTATTATAGTAATAATATAAATACATATATTTGATATAAAATAGACTCTTAATATACTCTTAACACCTATAGTACCTACAGGATTTTCCAAAACCACAGTCTAAAAGTGTATAAGTTATAATCACGTGCTTAACACAATCTATAATTTATATTGCTATTACTATCTACAATGTCAACAATGAAAACACAGAGTACTACAGAAGCCTTTTTTAGATACTGTATTATTAAAGGTATAACGTTAATACGTCATTATCATTTCCCTACGGTTTGCCACAACGGAGCTGCACATCTCTTCGGAGGACCTGTCGGCTGTCAAACAGAGGCAGTGGCGACGGCCAGCAAAATTTAATAATATATTATGATTTCCCGCAGCCACGCCGCACTGTGTCAGAGCATTTTCACTAAATCGTTTCCACGAAATCGGTACATAGGTTTATTTTGTTTTCGTATTTTTACGATTCGTATACCTTAACACATGTCTGTCTGTCGCGTGACCGTGTGTGTAGATTATAACAACATAGACGAAAAATAAAAATAAAACATAACAAACGTCACACTGGTTTGTGTTGAAAAAATATTATCAAAGTGTTCGTTTTGCTGCCCGTAGGTATATAGATACCCCCAAATCTCTGTGAAGTCTCTCAAATAAAGTCATCTCAAAGTAAAGATGCTCTATTTATTGTCGTATGTAATTTAGAAAAAAAAACCAATAATAATTATTAAAATATTAAAACTTATTGAAATTTGTTTCAATGTTATGGTATTTCTGATAACTGATAAGTGGTGCAATGTTATAATTATGCCGCAATATTAAGATCTAAACAAAAAATATTATATATCAATAAATAAATTTGTATTTAAACCTTCATGATTATGGCCTATAATGGGAAGAATTGTGGAGACATGACCCCAGAATCCATTTTTTTTGTTATCAACATTATTTGAGACTTAGGTCCTATCTAAAAAAAAATGGAAATTTGCGCGTAATATGATACCGACGTGGCCAGTGTGCTGCCAGGTTAATTTAGTTAATATTTTTATCATACTATTGTCCATCGGCCAAGACGGATCCATCCAATAGTGTCGGTGGCAGTAGATTTTATAATGTCTATACTTATTAAGTGGTTCAGAATTTCAGATGCGAAACGTTGACGGAATATCTCAGCCACCGAGTTTCGCTCGGATTTGTCTTATAAACTACTATTATATTAGGGCTTATGTTTTATGCCATTTATATTATAAAATACACTTTATAGTATTATTAGTATTGTAATATTACCGCGTGCCTACATATTTTATTTTTGAAAAATAAATTGATACATAAGGGTTCTACATTTGAGTACAAAAATCTCGAGTCGAGCTGGGTCGTAAATAAAAATTAATTGGGTCAGACCTGAAATATTGTACATCCGTGCAGACCTAGGTATCATTGACTGATATATTGAACTACAAATATTTTAATCGTCGTGCTGCAGCCACAGACAAGATTGACGTTTTAAATTACGAATTGTATAAAATAACATAATGTAATAAGTATGTATTATTATCAAGTGTACCTATATTATTATGTAACGTGACGAGAAGACCATAACATGTGTGGCATACTGTTACCATGTTCATAGCGGTAAATATAGAAAATTAGGTGTATATATACCAATTATCAACTATAGGTCAAACATTGTCTATATATATATTATTCACTTATCTATGTACATTATACAGTATAATAATCGTCCAGAAACTTCGGATTATGTACGGAATATAATATTTCCGGCATATACATGTTAACATGTATCAATTTCCAATTACGTCACGTCAGCGTACATCATTCAAATCGGTATGTCACAACACAAATCTGTGTGATATAAAATAGTTTATGGCATTCACGTTGAAATTCGATTACAATATTGTACAGACGTTAATTATTTTAATACGGTGCGTTTATAAGAAAAATATTTGTACACAAAAACCACTCAATAACGACGAAGCAATTTATAATAATAATATGTATAACTCAAAGAGATAACAATTATATAGGTACCTAAAATGTACCTATAAAGTGAAATCTACTTATCTAAACAAAAAAAAAAACATATTTTTTTCTTTTATTAGTCATCACCAACTGTGTACCTATTGACAAAACACGCGGCGAGTAATAATTATTTGTTACCGACAAAAGAATTTTGATGTTTGAGAATATTATGTTCTACACAAAATTATCTAAAGATAAAGCGCCGTGAGAAATCTATATAGTATTGAAATCCACTTATTTTATTGCATTTAATCACTATCATTAAAATATTATAAATTAATTTTTTTTTTATTATTTGAAATTTAATTTATAATGTTGTGTATTGTAAATTAATTCTTGAGCTTATAAACTTACTGTTATTTATCGAATAATTAACTAAACATTGATTTTTTACATTTTAAAATAGAACTAAATGTGTATCAAACTTTTTATATAAATATAAATTAGCTTATTAATATTATTAGAGAGAAAATTTTATATAAACGCGACGAACCGATATTATTAGTAGGTATGAACAATTATTTTACTAATAAGAAATATGATTAGGTTCTGTCGTTGGATTTGGGTACTCGTCGACATATTAAAATTGAATAATTAATTGTTTAATATTAAACAATATAATATTAATATGCTCTACTAACCTCTCTGTTTGTTCGTCTGCTCGTTGGTGGACTGGACGGCGTTGGACTGATGTTGCTGTTGCTGCTGTTGATGGAGTTGTTGGTACGACGACGGCTGGTGGCCGTTGAACAGCGACGACGGTGGCATGGGTGGCGGTGGTGGAAGTCCGATGGTGGCCGGTGATCGGGGCGTCTGGTGCAACGCGACCGCGGACGTCTTGCATTCTGGTTGCAGTTGCAATTGTTGTTGCTGATGCTGCGGTGGACTGCACGATTGCATCCGCAGTCTGGGGTGGTCGACACCAACGCCGGCCGCGGCGGCGGCGGCTGCAGCAACGGCCGCGTGATGGTGATTGTCGATAATGGCGGCTGCAAGGTGACGAAACCGATCTTCGGCGGCCAACACGTTGGCGTAATGGTGATGGTGATGGGACGACGGTGGCTGTTGCTGCTGCTGATGCTGCTGCTGCTGTTGTTGTTGTTGTTGTTGTTGCTGTTGTGACGACGGCTGCGGCGGGGCACCACTGCCCATCATTGAGTGCGGGTGGCCACCGTGCACTTGTTGGTGATGGCTGTGGTGATGGTGGTGCGGGTGCCCGGGTGGTGGCGGTGGCATGTCCGAATACATGAGCGACTTGTTTCGCCGGCCTTCGCGCCGGTTGCCCGCTATCGCCATGTTCAGTTCGTCCAACGTACTGAACTGGTTCATCCGCGACTCGTAGGCGTACAAATATTTGACGTATCTGTACATTTTTTTTGTATATTAATTCTATATCAATACATAGTAACCACTAAACTACGTGTATCGTACATGGGCAGGCGCGCACCCAGAATTTTTGTTTGGGGGGGGCTTAATAATTTTTCTTTTTCCCTTACACACAAGTAAACAATTAAAACTAATTTTTAAATAACCAATTTTGTAAAAAATCGAACAGACTGAATTATCTAAACGAGATTTTCATGCCACAGACAGTCGAAAGTCATAATTATCATTGTTATCGTAGTTAACAATCAAAGTCGATCGTACGTAATCGTTATTGTATCTATAAATCTAAAAATAATTTTCAACGAAATAAAAATCGACGATAGCCACCGTAGAGTAGGTATATTGATTGTCACAAACCTTATCGCGTAGTATTGAACTATTATGTATATATTATATGTGTATCTAACATAATAACAAAATTTTAAAATAAAACATTATCATTTATCATTGTTATACTATATTTTCTATACTAATGTATAATTTAATGAAAAAATATTTTTTGGGGGGGGCTTAAGCCCCAAAGCCCCCCCCCCTTGGGTGCGCCACTGTACATGGGCAAAGATGGCTGGTAAAGTCGAAAATATTATTACCTGGAAATGCCCATCATCGATGATGTCGGAGAATATTTAAACGGAATTCTAAAAGGAATTTTCCTGAACTTAAACATTTTATTTATGTTTATATTTTAAAAAAAAAAATTAAACTGCTTGATATTAAAAAAAGGGTTTTCGGGAGGTGATATGGAGCAATACATATTTTCAGACCAGTTTCAAATTTTTAGCTCACTCATCGGTATGCACATGCGCTATACGACTTACTTTTTTTTTAATTGCTACCCCTATTTTTTCTGCAGATTCGGGTAGGGTATTTTTTTTAAACATTTATTATATAAAAAGTTTTTTTCTATTTTCAAAATTGACCAAGTCTCTAAATCAAAAATTGGATTTATGCATAATATTATGGGTTTAATGCAATTTTCATTTCAACCACTGGAAATAATAAAATAAGTGTAAAATAAATGTTTAATGGGGGACGGAGTGGCCGAGTGGACTAAGTTGTCTATTGCGACTCGCACCGTCACCGGTTCGAACTCGGCTACGGGCGGCATTTTTCTTCTGGAAGTCACGGTGTGCGGAGAGATAGGCCGACATGGCGACATCCCCCCCCCTGGGCATGGCAGATACCTACGGGTGTGTTTGTTGTGGCAGACTTTAGAAGTGGGCTATAATTGTTCACTTATTTTATTATTTCCAGTGGTTAAAATTAAAATTGCATTAAACACATAATATTATGCATAAATCCAATTTTTGATTTACTCTAACTTGGTCAGTTTTGAAAATAGAAAAAAACTTTTTATACAATAAATGTTTAAAAAAAATACCTTACACGAATCTGCAGAAAAAACTGGGGTGGCAATTTAAAAAAAAAGTAAGTCGTATTGCGCATGTGCGTACCAAGGGAGCTAAAAATTTGAAACTGGTCTGAAAATATGTATTTAAGTACTCCATATCACCTCCCGAAAACCCCATTTCAATACTATGTCAGTATGTCACCCATCTGAGATATTCAGTGGTACCTCTTAGCTTGAACACACTGTATACATATATATTATATATATTATTATAATATGATAGGTAGTAGGTACATACGATTGTACATTATAGACTCTATTATACTTGGTATATTTAGGTTTTCTCAGGTATACATAATATATTCATTAACACTTATAATAATATTACGATCATTAAAAATATAATTTTAATAGGTACTTAAATTCAAAATGTTTAGAAATTATAGCAATAGTTTAATACAATATTATTTTGCATAATATTCGTTTAGCATTTATGTATTTCACTTACTTGTTAGTATACTTATATTTATTTACATATATTTATTATTTTAAACGTATTTAATATTATTTATTTTGTTAGCTATTCGACGAGGTAAATGTTAAATACTTAACTCTTATTATATACTTTTATGTACTCACTGTGTGCGTAATGTGAATGCTGCACTCGTTATAGAAGGAGGTAGGCCCAGACCTCGGATGATCTCTTGCCACAACTTCTTGGTGATGACCGCGACAATGCCACCTCTCTGGACGACTAACTTATATAGGGTGTACAAATCCAACACGCGTTTGGCCATGATGGGTAGACGACTAATTGGAGTTCCTATACAAAATATATATTACAATATATAGTAAACCGTAGTATAATTATAATTTATAAGTAGTACAAATAAAAACCATAACTTATAACTTTGGAAATATTTTTAACACTGTCTATTATAGTATATAATAATTAATTATTCGTTATTGTATTTCTACATGACAATAATACGTAAACGTAAATCGTAATAGATTATGTATTTATGTGCGTGTAAAATATGACACAGAATATTATATTATATATACACTTATCTATATAATAATACTGTTTAATTGTGATTTTATAAGCTGTATAGACAGGTGTATCGTACTTTCGGTATAGGTACAGCAAACGGTATATTATCAAAATCGGCACAACCAATATTGCAACCTGTTTTTGGATAGAGCTATTTCAATTTTTTGAACCATTATTAGAAGTTGTTCTATAAGTATGATTGAATTGAGATTATTCAATAATACGAACTTTACGTATCATCGTAAACGGCGTGGGATGAAAAAAGGATCTTGAAAAGCGTAGCGATGGCGCCACGTCGAGTCGTCTAATCGGATAAATCCAACCTATCGATCGTTGTCGAAACGAATAAATTAATATATTACAAAGCATTTCCGTGTAAATATAATGTCTTTATCTAAAAAAAAACTTATATACGAGTTTCACTCGTATATATAGTTGTTCCCATTTGTTCAAAGAAAAAATAATAACAATCTGATTAAAAAATGTAACTTCAAACCCGTCATAGTATTTATACATAGGTGCGAGCGCGTATTATATACATTTAATTTAATACGAGTATAATGTAAAGTCTATACAATATGGCGTCCAATATGTGCAACAGCCCAATAATAATGTAACAAAGTAAAGGATACGTCCTACTGCTACGGAGCACATATAGGTACACATAATATTATAATAATATAATGATCCATTTTATTACTTATATAATGTTCAATGCATAATGCCCGTGTACCTATAAGTTAATACGAAAAAAAAAAAATACAGAAATCGTGCAGAGGATCTGAAATGGCGAAGTGGAGCCCCTCGGGCCGTTTCCAGCCGGCCGCGTGGTACTTTTTACGACTTATAATTACGGGCTATATTTATTATTATGTATAAGTTACCTACGCGATGCGCGTACGGTAGGAATAATGTAATAAAAAATTAGACTCGTTCCATTATAATTTATATTATTCGTTTGCTCGTGATTCCGCCCTCTATAACCACCACCGCACCTAACAGTGTGCGTATATATATATATTATGCGGTTTGTATTTATGCTATACTTCATATTGTTACTGTATAATATGTTAGGTATATATAGTTATAGTGTAGGTACACGAATGCACGCAAAATCGGTCGAATGGTGAAAAATCCAGTAGACCACCGTAAAATAAAAAATAATAATAACGAACGTACGTCTAAAGACGAACGATAAAAAAGAAAAATATGTAATGAATATAAAGATAAAGAATACCATAGTCGTCTATAAAAAAAATCCTTTTTCTAAATGCACATATTGTTATTATTATTATTATTATGTCGGACGTGAATACTATAGGTAGATATGCGATAAATATTATCCATTTTTTATGAAACGATATTTTTTTACCCAACACGGTATTCTGACGAAAACCCACGACCTTGATGTAAAAAAAACATTAATTGAATACGTATGTTTGACGTCGTATATTATATTTATATGTCTACATATTATATACTTTTAAGCGTGGTAGCACTGCAGCCGCATTGTATTAAATATAAATATAATATAATATACGCATACATGATACTTGTAACGTATAAAGTGCCTAAAATTAGACTAGTTGATTAATGTAAGATAATTATATTACACATGTATAATTTAGTCCAAGTGCGAAACACGAAAGCGAATGTCAATCAAATTTTTAACTTCCGTGAAGTACGCTTTATATAATATTATGTTTTTTTTTTTTATTATTATGTGAGAGTTAAATCTATTGTACACATAATTATTTTACCAACGAGTCGTATAATACTAAAATAAAAAAAGCAGGTAAGTGGAAATCGCTCTGCTGCACAGTAGGTTACAAGTGGGTCATTGTATAATGGATTGTATTAAACTTGAATTCAATGATATTCTATCATTGTATAAGAAAAACGATTCTGAGTGGAGACGGTTTGTCAGTCTGGATATTTTATATTGTCATTAATTATTATATTATCATGTAAGTTGAATTAATATTATAATATTATTATTTTTTATTCGTTTCTATGGTAATAAACAAAGCGTTAGAAATTAAAATCCAAATTTTAGCAGTTTTTCGTAATTTTTCGGTGGTTTTTACCGTGGCATTTAATAAATATTGATAAAATCGAAAAATGACCTCTCTAAAGTACCGCCTTGATCCAATTTTCTAAAAGATAAGGTACTATATGTTGAAATAGAAGAACTCCTTCTGGTAGAAATTTAGTATACAGGATATAAAATAAAAAAAAATAAACACCATTGTAAAACCCCTAGCTTCCTCGCTCCGCTCAGAATCTAAAATGTAGTTTATTGTTGCAGATTAAAATAATAATAGTGTATTATATATTGGTTGCTATTGGTTAATCGGGCATGTTTGTTGATATTTGTATTATTATTTTTAGCCAATATATACATATATATATATATATATATATATATAATTGAATGTTTGTGTGTAGATTAGACCTCTGGGGACTGGGAAGAAGATTTTCTAATTTAAAAATGGTTAAATTAGGTTTTTTTTATTCATCTGATTTTAGTACTGTTATGTTAAATTAATATTTTGTATTAGTTGATTATATTAATCCACCATAGGTAGAATACGACAAACTTGGTATAACTTTGATACTTTAGAGTAATAGTAGAGTTAAATCATACACTAACGTACATACTGCACGGGGTCCACGACCTACCGCAGATAGATTGCCTACTTGATAATGTACTGCAGCGAATCAGAATTTTTATTCCGGGCAAAGGAAAAGTTAAGATTAATTTTGAAACCATACATCGAATATTAAATAACGAATTGAACAAAGTTTGAGTCACATAGAAATGGTACACTTAATGGGCAAATATGTATTATAATATTATGTAAATAAGTATATAACTAATAATTTACAAAAGGAAGAAGTCAATATTATGAATTCATGATAATATTAAAATTTATTATTGTAAATTGTAAGTGGTTTTAAAAAAATTTACTTATAGATATGTAAATTGTTATATATCAATTTGAAAATCAAAAAGGTGCATGACGCTCATAACAATTATTTGAATAGAACCTATATAGATTATACTAATATAGTATATAATTGTATATAACATGAGAGGGAATAGGTAGGAGACATAATATTACATTAATATTTTTTACTTAGTTATAGGTGCTCGGAGTATATTTTTGTAACGTATTTATTGTTAGTTGTTACAATATAATAAATATGTACTATAATTAACCTCATCGGTGGTCAGTATTATTTTGAGTACAACATCTGAAATATATACCTTAAGCTTCATTGTGACAATGGAAAAATAATATATTATATTATAATATTTAACGAGTAATCGTGTTTCAGTTTGTATTAGGTGTACTTCAGCCACAGTCGCAAATTGGGGGGGGGGCTAAATCCAAATTTCAAACCAACCATTTAAAAAATATTGACGTATTCATGATAGCTGTAAGCTGATAATATTGTCAAGGAAGACTTGACTTCAAAATTACCCTATGTATTTATCGGTATTATAATATTTCTAACCATACCAGTGACATCTGCCTTAGCTGAGCGATCATTTTCAAAGCTTAAATTTATAAAAAAATTATTTACGTAACACAAGACTTTCAAGTATATTTTTATACAATAGTGCAAGGCAACAAACTAGGTAAGGCTAAAAACGTGGTTATTACTTATTTCTATAATATTTTTGAATTTTATTTTGTAAATGTGAATTTTTCATCCTTAACATTTTGGGGAAATCAGAAGTTACCTACCTATCGTACTAGTTTTTATTTTATTGTCAATAAAGTAATTTATTAAAACTAACACCCCTCCCCCCACGACTGGTAGGAATACCCAAACTTGCGGACTTCAAAACTTGAAAAGGTTATAATAGGTATCCTAAAAAAATATTCAAAAATCGTTTGGGAGCTAAACCGCATTTATTCCACAAAATAGTACCTATAGGTTTATTATAAGTCTTTACATTTTAGGAAATTGTTCCGAGGCCCAACATTTTCAAACACGGAGCTTTGAGCAGGGAGGAGGCTCCACACATGTAGGTATATTGCGTAATTTTAGTCAATACTGAATTCAGGTTTTGATATTTGGTAAAAACCAAATGTTACTTATCAGTTATCATAAGTAATTTATTTTACTATTAGGCATTAGTACTACAATAGGATAAATTAATTTTTGCCGAAAAAATATAATCTTGTGTATAAAACTATAAAATATAATAATATATTTTAAGAATTTAAAGTAGGTACCCAGGAATAATATTTTTAAATTATAACAAAATAACTAAAACTGTTATTCTTAGTTTAAATACCAAATTTCTTCCAAATTTTGAACTTCAGATGTCTATAAAAAAATGAGTTTTAGTGTTTATATATTTTTTAGATTTTTTTGGTTACAATATGAACTATGTTCGAGAAACCTTGATTTCCTCCTTAACTATAAAAAAGGTGGGCAAGTGGGTGTCGCTCTGCTGTACAGTAGGTTACAAGTGGGTCACTGTATAATGGATGATATTAAATTTGAATTCAACGATATAATATCATTGTATAAGAAAAACGATTCTGAGCGGAGACGGTATGTCAGTCTAGGTTTAAGACATATTATATACTTATCTATGGTATTAAAAAAAAATGACCTATAATGAATTCCAAATTAATCATATCACAATATCCATTAGGTACTTATGACGCGTTATACACCAACAACAAACCCTGATACTATCATAGATATATAGTAGTATTT